CTCGCGCTGAAACTCCAAATATGCCTCGCAGAAGAAACCCAGAAAATGCCTAGCGCTGCAGCTGAATAAACAGAAGATTCAACTGCTTTCGTTGATTCAACGTGACTAATAAACACACCACTATGGCAATATACGGTTTATCTTAGTTCTTATTATTTCATTAAAATAAAGTATATTTATAATGCAATGCCTTTATCACTGCTTAAATAATATGAAATATGTTGCGTCTTATTCTGTGTAAGAAGCCACATCATCTCACAGAAGGATTTATTTCAAACACTCGACTGACGTTATGAAGTGAGTTTGGAGTAAAAATATGTTATTAAATGTGGTATTTTCACATGCTTTCAGATGGAGCAGCATTTACTTCACAGAGCCGTAGTTCACTGAGAAGCTATGCAAACAGCTGTCATTATCGTGAACGATTTCAGAATCGCGCAATAAAATCGTCTGCGATTTTTTTGCGTAACTTGTCAGTGAACTATGGCTATGTGTAGTAAATTCTGCTCCATCTGAAAGCATGTGATGATGATTTCCTGCTGATTACAGAACCAGCTTTTTTAACAAAATGTGCATGACAATCGCATTTGATTAATCGTGCAGCCCTAGACAAGGGTTTGTGCAGAAATAGCTACTACTTGTGAAAATGCTAAATGCTAAATAAATAGAGCTTGATTCTTGATTAAACTGTTCAGACAGTTCAAACTTTAGTCATAATAGATATTTTAGATCATATTTTAGTAGGGATGTAATGATTAACCACGAGCCGGTTGAAAATCGATTAAAATATGTGACGATTCAAATCGATTGAGATGCTAAACAATCGCGATTCAATTAGGGGCAGGAGTTTATATGAATGTATGTCTGAGGGGAACTTGCTGTCTTTAGAAAAGTTTAGATGGTATTTTTTATTTTAATCATGCGTATAATACATATTAAAGTTCATAAGTGCAGCGCTGCTTTGTTCACAGCGGAAACCAAGGAAACGCTTTAAGCGCCACCTGCTGGCAGAGAGTGAATCTGCGTCTCATTCAGCTCGTCTGCTGTTTCTGTTTCATGCAGATATTTTTTTATCTATAGTTTCACAAAACTGAACTCAAACCAGTCTGTTTCTGCTTTAAATTTCGAAATTATACAATCTAATTTAGATTAAAAACTGCTAATGTTGCATGTATGCTGCATCTTTGTTTGGATCATGATTAAAATGCAGTGGTTGCCTCTAATTTTAAATGGAAAGAGCACAGACAAAGCCTTATTTTGTTTATATGAAGAGATTTATTTTATTATTATTATTTGTTATTTATTTGATTTGGGGCTTGTTTTAAAATTTCAATTTAGTTTTGTTATATACATTTACATTATATTTAAATTTTGTCATTTAGCAGACGGAACTTGCTGTCTTTAGAAAAGTTTAGATGGTATTTTTTATTTTAATCATGCGTATAATACATATTAAAGTTCATAAGTGCAGCGCTGCTTTGTTCACAGCGGAAACCAAGGAAACGCTTTAAGCGCCACCTGCTGGCAGAGAGTGAATCTGCGTCTCATTCAGCTCGTCTGCTGTTTCTGTTTCATGCAGATATTTTTTTATCTATAGTTTCACAAAACTGAACTCAAACCAGTCTGTTTCTGCTTTAAATTTCGAAATTATACAATCTAATTTAGATTAAAAACTGCTAATGTTGCATGTATGCTGCATCTTTGTTTGGATCATGATTAAAATGCAGTGGTTGCCTCTAATTTTAAATGGAAAGAGCACAGACAAAGCCTTATTTTGTTTATATGAAGAGATTTATTTTATTATTATTATTTGTTATTTATTTGATTTGGGGCTTGTTTTAAAATTTCAATTTAGTTTTGTTATATACATTTACATTATATTTAAATTTTGTCATTTAGCAGACGCTTTTATCCAAAGCGACTTACAAATGAGGACAACAGAAACAATCAAAACCAACAAAAGAGCAATAATATGCAAGTGCTATATTAGTATATTATTATAGTGTTATATATCAATTTCACAAAGAAATGTGCATCATTTCGTCCAAGCAATAATAAAAGGACACATTTAATTTATAATTTGTCTTAAATCTCATTTTGTAAAAAAAAAATTTAAATCATAAATCGAATCGAATTGTGAATCGAATCGAATCGTGAGTTGAGTGAATTGTTACATCCCTATATTTTAGTCATTATTACTAGGAAATGTACATAAATGTCTCATTTAAACCAAAAATTACTGCGTTAGCCAAATTGCGCAATTATATAGAAAATAAGGAGGCGTATTTATGATGAAAAACGACAAATAGTCAATAAAAATATGCTATTTCAGAGCATTTAACTCAGAAATCAACTGAATTGCCAGTCTTTCGTAAATAGTCTTATTTATGAATGACTCACAATTCAGTTTATGTCTGTTTATAATGGTTCACGCTTAAGTACTACTTGAGAAAGTGCTAAAATGTTTTCCTATGAGTTTTACATTTTAGACCATATTTAATTTAATTGAATGAAAACAAAGCTACGAGAGGCAGAATTCAACATCAACAATGTAAATGACACATTATATTCAAGTGGGTTTGCGCTAAAATACTACTTGTGATATTGTTTCGCAAATTCACTCCTATGAGTATGCTTCTTGATTAAACCATTTTAGATGTTCTAGATCACATTTAACCTGAATGAAAATGAAGCTATGAGAGGCAGAAGTCGATGTATTGTTTTTGTCAAATAAATACGGCATCTACTCGGAGGTCTACAGTAGAAATGCACTGCGTTACGGTCCAAATGGCCTAGATTTGGGTCAGGCACTGGATCACTGTGCCGAGTGGGATTACAGATGGACAGAGAGCTAAACAGTCATTGGTTGGTGGCGAATGTGCCACACTGCATTACTGAAGCTCCAGTGAGCACAGAAGGAAATGTGATGGAGACGGTTTCCTACTAACTCAAACCCAGGGTGTTGACTAGGGCTGTGCGATATTGAAGAAAAATGTGATATGCGATAACTCATTAAATAATGCGATATTCGATATGCGATACGATAATGCTCATATATTGCACAGCCCTAGTGTTGCCCTACATGAGATCTGAAGCCCAGATTCCTGGGAAGAAACACGTCTTCAGCTCAAAACACGTACAATCAGATACACACAGAGTGCAATATGTCGATTTTGACAGCCGCTTCAAGGATCGTTTCTGGAATTTCCCATTATGCATCATTATTGTCTGACTATATGAGAGTCGCCATTCGAAGAGTCATTCGAAGCCCAAAAAATAATGCAATCTATGCACACTTCTATGAACCTGAAAATATCGCAAAGGACTCAATCAAGAAAAATCAAAGCAATATAATCAGTCACTGCAAAATTCCCTCAGATAGGCTAATCCTCAAATATTCAGATCGCTATGGGTTTTTAAAAATTCCTAAACATTCGACATTTCTTGAATATTTGGTTGTATTCTAGTTAAAATCGCATTAGATTTTAAATTGATATCTGAGGTCAAATTGGCTTGCAGATGATTTTAATGAATCGTGTCAAATGTACAGTAATTCATCACTTAGTAATCACATCAAATAGAACATGTGCTCAATTACTTGGCACATTTGGCCCTTTTTTCCCCATTTCTTCTGAATAATTAATGATCAAATGGAATATTTATCTAATTCTTAACAAATAACTTCTTCAGGCTACTGCCTTTCTTTGCCTACAAAACTATTGCAAAAACACTTTAGAATATCTTGCATTAGCTAGTCATCAACAAACATTACGTAACAATGAACAGATTCAACATGCATACAAAAATGTACGTATGCAAATATAGCCTATAAATCAAAGTATCCAGTCCCAGCCTTAGTCTGTTTATCGGATTTGCCAAAGTTTGCAAGGTTAGTAGCATCAAATCTTTGAAAGCTGGTTTTTAATTGTTGCATCACATAATTAAGAAATCCTCCCTTAATTGACAAGGAACCCTTTTTTAAAAACTGTGCTTGGACGCTTCACATGTCAGTCAGACCATCTCTTCCAGTCTAAATGGGTGGTTTTTGAGCAGAACCAAGAATGTCTATTCAAGAAATGTGAATAGTAGTTACCTAATAGGTAATAGTTCTTATACACATTTCTGAAAGTTATATTATCAAGTGTTACTATTAATGTTTATAATACTAAAACAAAAAAATCAAACCAAATGACAGTTGGATCAGTCTTTACACACATATACTACAGTGGTACCGGGGCGGTGCCATCATGTCACAGTTAACCGTTACTATTCAAATGACTTTCAACAGACAGAAACCATCACATTCATTACTAAAGATGAGGACGCAGAGGTTTGCTTCATATGACAGAGATGAAGCTCACTGCAACCCTAATAAACCTACATTTCTAGAAGCTGTCCAGTGTCCATATTTGGACATTAATGTTCAATTTATAATTTAAATGCTTGTGTGTTCAGATTCAGTCAATCATACTCAGCAAATGTCCATGTTTAGACATGAACTTTCAATTTATGGTCCATCATATTCGGCATATGTCTATATTTTGGCATTAATGTTAAAATTATAATTAATAATGTCCAGGATATGCTCATATTTGAACATTGATACTCAATTAACAATTTAGAATGTTGTGTATGTGTCCATTTTTGGACATTCATATTCAATTCATCAGGAATAATGTTCTGCAAATGTACTTATTTAAACATTTCTATAAATGAATTATGAATAATGACCAACATCATCATGAACATCTCATTTTGCGTCTCAAAAAACAGCGTTTTTAATCATTTTCATCATTTGCCTTGAAATGCACATTGTTTATCATATTCTTGATCAGAATATGAATATGGTCCAGCCCTGCCATGATGGAGATGCACTTGTTTTCCAGTGGCGCAATACTGCAACAAACGCCTTATTATGATAACAAATCCATTTAAATGCTTCATAACATGCCGCAGAAACATTAAACGCTCAAAAACGCTAATGAATGAGGGTCACTCACCCAGAACACGAAGGAATAGACGATGAGGAGCGTTTTGAGGCAGGTAATGACTGGTTTGGTCTCCATTCTCCTTGATGCCATGAGCGCAGTGGGTTTGTGCTGCTGTGATTCTCCGCTGCGCCTCCGCCGCTGCGCTCCAGTCACTCTAGACGCGCCTGGCCAATCAGAGGGCGAGATACCACGCGAAGGACCCGCCCCGCTCCGTCAGACCCCCTGCTGGCCAATCAGAGGAAGAGAGGGGGACGTTCAATCCCCGCCCTCGAGACGCGACGCCCTCTGCTGGACGTCACATGACAGCGACGACAGTTGCGCTAAAGGTGAGGCAGGGGCCTTTGCGTCAGTGAGAAAGTGATGAAAAAAATGAACACTGTAAATGTAACAAAAACATGTAATTGAATCTGCCCTTTTTTGTTTTGTAAGCATTGTTATAGGCTATGAAATGTCAATTTTGCTCACATTTAACCTTTGATATAAATAAAATTACACTTTTTTTACACTACAGAATTAGCATTTGTTTAATTTAATTAGCATTTATTATACTTTCTGTCCTTCCTTGACTTTTCATACAAATGACTAGGCTACATCAATTCTATAAGCGTATTCAAAACTAACAAAACTCTCATAGGCCTAATGTAACACCTTGGTGTCATAAATAAAAAGTGTTTGAGTTGATTGATGATTTCTTTCTTTCTTTCATATTTTTATGTCTGTTCTTGCTTGACTTTACATCAAATGAATTGAAAAATGAAATACAGAAGTTGTAGGTTTATTGAAAACTAATAAAGCTGTGATTCTTTTCTATATTAGATGATGATAAGTAACGCGAGTTACGTAATCAGATTACTTTTTTCAAATAACTAGTAACTTAACGCATTACTCTTTAATTTACAAGAGAATATCTGAGTTACTTTTTCAAATAAGTAACGCAAGTTACTTTTTTGTCCAGATTTAAAAAGTAACGCAAAAGTTACATAACGCATTACTTTCCATAAAAAGTAATTAAGTAACGTAATTAGTTACTTTTTTATGGAGTAACGCAATATTGTAATGCATTACTTTTAAAAGTAACTTTCCCCAACTCTGTACATACAGACAGACAGACAGACAGACAGATAGATAGATAGATAGATAGATAGATAGATAGATAGATAGATAGATAGATAGATAGATAGATAGATAGATAGATAGATAGATAGATAGATAGATAGAAATCAATATGAGCCTAATTAAAGTGTTAAAGTATTGATTATTATGGGCGCCATTTATAAAAGTTAAGCTAAAAAAGTTTCAGATTAGAAAAGTTCGAAATTACACATAAAATAATTGTAAACAAGATTATTACTTCCAAGTCAACGTCTCATCCTCTTTCTCTCAGTAGAAACCTCATGTGATCCTTCAGTCTAGTGTGAAATAAGTTCACAGTTCAGCTCCAGTTTTAGCACGCAGTCGTGCTATATTTGGCACTCCAAATTTGCAACCTATCGAGGAGCCAGTGTAGTGAGACTCAACTCTCAGCAATTACAGCAGGCCGATGGAGGCGAGCACAACCACAACACAGCTGCTGTCACCTCGTGCTCGAGCCGTGTGTGAAGAAGACCTGAGTCGGTTCACACTCACTCACCATGTGACCTGACCCCACTATTAACACCCTAAATGAACCTATACAATGAACGACCCCACAGCACTCATGATCAGGGCGTCAAATCGCAGCTGCCGCTGGTGTTTGACGCCACTGAATATAATAAATAAATCTATAGATTAATCTATTTACAACATTTTAAGGTGTGGTCACATAGCCTAATTAAAGTGTTAAAGTATTGATTATTATGGGCGTCATTTATAACGGTGCTAAAAAAGTTTCAGATTAGAAAAGTTCGAAATTACACATAAAATAATGGTAAACAAGATTATTACTTCCAAGTCAAGGTCTCATCCTCTTTCTCTCAGTAGAAACCTCATGTGATCCTTCAGTCTAGTGTGAAATAAGTTCACAGTTCAGCTCCAGTTTTAGCACGCAGTCGTGCTATATTTGGCACTCCAAATTTGCAACCTATCCAGGAGCCAGTGTAGTGAGACTCAACTCTCAGCAATTACAGCAGGCCGATGGAGGCGAGCACAACCACAACACAGCTGCTGTCACCTCGTGCTCGAGCCGTGTGTGAAGAAGACCTGAGTCGGTTCACACTCACTCACCATGTGACCTGACCCCACTAGTAACACCCTAAATGAACCTATACAATGAACGACCCCACAGCACTCATGATCAGGGCGTCAAATCGCAGCTGCCGCTGGTGTTTGACGCCACTGAATATAATAAATAAATCTATAGATTAATCTATTTACAACATTTTAAGGTGTGGTCACAAGGTCCATTATACGAAGCAGTGCTTACACAGAAGTCTAAACCAAGCAGATTTCTGTTGGTCTTTACGGCAAATTTGCGTGAGTGACCCGCTATATTTGAATTGCGTCACCAATTTGAACAGATGAGCATGGTGTATGGAAGCCCTGGCCGTTCCATCACGGAATAAAATGCATTGCAATTCTGAGATTATTGCGAGATATAAGCCCCTTTCACACAGAAATACAGGGAATTGCTGTAAAATTAGTGGAACGACTTTACCGGTAAACAGAAAAAGGCACAGTACAGCTGACCGGAAATGACTGACCTGGCTTATCTAAAACCAGGAAGTAATCGTGCATATGGTCAATTCTGTCACATAATTTACTGGAAATAACCTCTAAACGGCGGTGTTGTGTTTGTAAACATGGAGGCATAAACTTGGTCAGTGTTTTCATTTTTGTGTCAAACGTTCACATTTATGCAGCTTCTTTTGGCCCAGAAAAATCGTGTTAGAGGACTTTAGACATTTCTTTAAAGGGGTCATATGATGCAATTTCAATTTTTCCTTTCTCTTTGCAGTGTTACAAGCTCTTGGTGCGTAAAGAAGATCTGTAAAGTTGCAAAGACTAAAGACTCTTATCCAAAGAGATATTCTTTATAAAAGTTAAGAGTCAACCAAGCCTACTCACGTCACGATGTGGGAAGATTTGTATAACGCCGCCCAAATGTTCACGCAAAGAAAGAAGGCGTAACTTTTATTCTCGCTGTAATATTGTTGTTGCCGCCGCCATGTTGTGAAGGCGCTGTGTGTTTCGTTGTGAAAGCAAAACTACTCTGTTTGGTCTTCCAAAAGAGGACGATATCCACTTCGTCATGCATAGAGCTGACCCGTGCTGGTCACTGAGGAAATACATCAACTGACGAAGCGGAGTCCAGCCCGGGGTTGTCACATGTGGTTGCTGCAAGCCCGCCGGCTGCTCCTTTGTGGGCATAACATTTTGGTCACACGCTTGAGGTATTCGGCCAATCACAACACACTGGATAGCTGGCCAATCACAGCACACCTCGCTTTTCAGACCGATGAGCTTTGTAAAAAACAACGCGTTTCAGAAAGGCGGGGCATAGAGGAGAAACAATAATGTACAGTATGTGTAACCTTAAACCGCATAATAATTTTCAATTATACAATTTCATTACACCAAATACACAAAATAATGTTCTATTTAGCAAAATCACATGGCCCCTTTAACGTCCATAAACAGCTCTGAGTAAATCTGCGTCAGAATGTTATGACTGGCCCAGTGTAGACGTCTAACATCAGCGCGTTCTGAACTTGTGCTCATACATGATATGTGCTCATATCGGTAATCTCGTTCAGTATTCACACAGAACACATCACCAGAAATGTACTGATAGGCCTAATGTTTCAACTTCTCATATCGGTAAATTGCCAGAAGGAACTTACCGGTATTTTTGCAAAGGTCCTGTTCACACATTATCTCTTAATGATAATTTACTGGTAACTTACCAGTAAAGATTGTGTGTTTTGTTTGCGTCAGAAATCTGTGTTTGAACTTCAACTTCAAGCATTATGTTCGAAGCAGATGTCATAAAAAAGGAAAGATTTCCTTTATGCTGTGGAAATACAACCAGAATACAAAAAGGGGTGGGGCTACATGTCTATAGGCTATATCAAAATTTAGTCTTTTCTTCTAAAAATTTTGGACTTTATATCTTGAAATTGTGAGTTATAAACTGGCAATTGTGAGTTGACATTTGACAATTATTTTTTTAACCGAATTGTGAGCTTATATCTTACAATTTCTACTTTTCCCCCCTCAAAATTATGAGAAAAAGTAAGAATTGTGAGATTAAAAGTTGCAATTCCATTTTTTATTCGCTGGCAGAGTCCCCATCATACGCATTCCTATTGGAATGACTAGATTTCGCCAAAGGAATTTCGCCAAGCAACGGATAATGTGACCATGCCTTTAGACTCTCTGAAGATGTGTGTTTAACAGTATGACGACTGTTTGCTCAAGGTCAGAGTTTAAGGTGTGACTGTAATATCTTATAAACCTGTGTGTGTGTTGGTTCTTAGTCTATCAACATTTCACCAGGTGTGTACCGCTGTGAGTCAGTTTTATGATGAAGAACAAACATCCAACCACATTGTATAAGGAAAGACTTAAGTACAAAATGCCATTGCTTTCACCTGGTTGTTAGTCATTTAGGATATTAAAAGTGTCAGTAATGTCACAGTTACAGAGTGAATTGTGGCTTTTTATCCATAGCAAAGCCATCCAGACCACATGCTTGATTAAACTTGATATCAACATGGACTCTTTTGAAAATTAAAATCAATGGCACTGAAATGTGGTTTGGAACAATTTTAGACCAAGAATTCGAAACATCTTTGTTTGGGATATACTGGTTAAGTATTTTTTGCACGCTTCTTGCTGGTAATGTCAGGATATTATTGGTTGACAATGTCAATAGCTACACAAATTTAGCATAAGACAAGTCAGACTAAATTGCAGCGTTTTACTAAGTCTGTAATGTACTAGAACTACAGAAGCTTAAAATCGCCCTCTACTGTTTAAAAGTAGCACACATCTTTATTTTCAGACATTCATTTGAAAGAGAGCAAATACTTATAAGCATTACAATACTTAATACTAATAATAATAATATTTTTTACATTATATACTTTTATATATATATATTTATTATATGAAAAGTTTATTTGCAAAAACAGATAACTCTGTTTTTAACAATTTTCAAAAATCATGTTTTTTTCATTGTGCATTCCAATTAATCTCAATCAAACTGCAGTTGGGTTATTTTGATTAAGTAAAAATAACTAAAAAAATACAGCTAACTAACACAATAAAACACGATAACATATTACAGATTTTTGAAAATGTAAAAAAATCAGTTATCTGTTTTTGCACACAAAAACTTTTACACATACATATTTTAATATATATAAATAATGATTTAATAACATAGTCATTCTATGTAATTGTATATATATATATAACCTTTAATCAGAAGAATTGAATAATATAAATAATATAGATCTTTATGTTGTATTATTATGAGATAATATTGCATATATTTTTTACATAATTTATTTACATACTTTAAATATACAAATAATGTATATTACACATTATATATATATATATATATATATATATATGGTGTGAATATAGATTTTTGTATCAAAAGATATTTTAATATTTTATGTGTAGTAATTAAGAAACAACAAACAAAATGTCTAATTCTCCAAGAAAATATTTCAAGCATAGTCATTGTAGATCATATCAGTTTAATGTCAAAAGAGACATTTCAGTGTTTGTCTGTTGTTTAATCTTTGTCAGTCCAAAAGAGTCCAAACATCTGTGTCCTAATGGAGATTCAGTTTCATCTACAAACAATAAATGTAAACATACTAAACTTATAAAAGTATTACAATAAACTGCAAAGAAAGAGAATGATCTTGATTAATGTAATATATGTTATGTTTTGAGACACCAGTCTGATTTTTAGTGCTTTTTAACCCAAAATGCTTAAGATTTGATTCTTTAGTGTTGAGAATAAGTGCATGTTCATAAAATTACATGGGATTCAGTTTAATAAAAAATAAACAAATTACTTAAAAATTGTTTTAAGTGCAAAAGCATCATTTGGTCGTCATGTACACAAACTTTATGTAACTTTGTTCCCCATCCGTTTTCATCAAAGTGTCTCTTCCTGAGTGTTGATTGGTCAAAGGTGTGCGCAGAATATTTCAGGCGACCAATCATCAGAGGGTTTGAGGTATTCAGGTGCTGATTGGCTCGAAGCCATGTGATCAGTTCTTGCCAGTGATTGGCTGTTAGAATTGTTGTTCTAGTGATTGATACTTGTCAGAAGTTGCAGAGCCTCATCTACTCTGTCTGTATGTCGGAAACCAGGAAGATCAGCCGTCAACAACACCTTCAGTACTGACGGCTGAGAGACATACAGAGAGAAGAAACAGATTATAAAACTTTACATTTATATTTATATACATATACAATAAAATGTATTTCAAATTAATACAATTAGTTTATTAATTAGTTACGTACAATTTGTATTTAACTATATTTTTTTATATTTATTGTATTTTTTCAGAACAATAGATTATTCATGATTTTAATCTACTTATAACTTATTTAGCTGATTTTATCTATTTACATTTTTTGTGTGGATGTGGCATTTGGTTTTAATATTTAGATTGATTTACATTTAACCAATATTTATAAATGTTTTTTTTTTATCTATTTGTAACCCTTTTGTATATATTAACAAACACATTGAACATTTTTGTATATATAAAAATAATAGTTAGAATAATAACTTTTAAAAGAATAAAATACACAATATAATGTTCTATATTATATTCTATACACAATTGAATGTTTTTTTCAAATGCCTGAAATTCTTAATTATAAAATACAATATTTCTTTTGTTTATATAAACAATGTTAAATGCCTTGTTTAAAAGCTGTAAAGGGGTTAAAATAACCATCATTTTCTATTTTACATTTCTATTTTTATACATACCACATCATTTTAAATGCATTTCATATGATTTCTATTCTTAAGTTATTTTTATGTTTATTTGTTTTTCGAACAGTAGAACAATCGCAATTGTTGTAATCTACTTATACATTTATTTAGATTATTTTATCGATTTTAATGTTTTTAATATTTTATTTTTAATGTTTAGATTCAGTGTTAGGGTAACTTTAATTTTTAATGTTAAATACATATAAAATGAATAATTAATGTTAAATGTGTTTCAAATTCCTCAGATAACATTATATTCAATGAAATGCCTCTTTAAAAGTATAATGCCTCTTTTACGGTATAAATGTTTTTTTATAATGTAAAAAAGAAACATTACCAATTATATACATATATAATTTAAGTAATTCATTAATATAGTAATAAACTTATATTCTAATATGTAAATTATAATTTAAAATTTTTTTTATTAAAGATTACTGAGCTTAATGTTAGAAATGGTCGTTGATTTTAAACACTACCTTCAGTCCAGCGAAGATCATCGATACTCCTCTCAGCTCGATCTGTTTGAGCAGTTCAGTGAGCTCATGGACGACAGTGAAGTCTATAGAGCTGACGTGAGAACAGTCCAGAACCAGACAGCGTGCAGGAGACGCTGACAGACCACAGACACGAGACCGTGAGCACTCAGTGAGAGCGTGTGTGTGTGCGTGCACGTGCGTGTGTGTGTGTGTGTGTGCGTGTGTGTGTGTGCCGTCTTTTGTTTCACAGAATGTTTGTACACGAGCCTGCTGAGATGCTCTGTCACGGGGAAGTTCAGCCCACTGTCCGGCTCCAGAAGCAGCACACCGTGATCAGACACCTGAACACACACACACACACACAAACCTCACTGACTGCTGCATCTTGGTCATTTTACAAACAACGCACTTCATTTCATATTTAATGGTAAAGAAATTATAGTATTCTATTAGTATATTAGTAGTATATAGTATTTAAAGTATTTTTTCCCCAAAACAACAGAATAATATTTTAGAAGAATCCTTACGTTAATTCTACTTACAGCAACTGAAATGCATTGAACTTTTTGAATATACAAATATATAAATATTTTATTTTTATATTTTTATATTTAATATTTACATATTAATTAATATGTATTATTTATAAAATGTGTGTGTGTGTGTGTGTGTGTATACACACATATACACTCATATTTTATGGATTTAAATATTTTATGTTTTATAGATACAAATTACAATATCGTGTTAAATGTCTCTTAAATGTTTCAAACAGTAACTAAAAAGCATTTAACTCTTTCTATACAAAAAAATATTATATTTTGTTTAATATTTATTTAAAAAAAATATTTATATAAGCTAGATAGATATTTTTACTTAACTGATAGGTATATACTAGTTCTATTTAATATTTACATATTTTTATAATATTTATACATTCAACAACTAAGTGCATTTATCTTTTTTCTATACAAAATATATAATATGTTTATATTAAAAAATATATATATTTTCAAAACAAGAAATGTTTTATGTAATATTTATACTTTTAAACATATAGATAGATAGATAGATAGATAGATAGATGTAGACCATAGATATGTATATATATATATATATATATCTATGGTATAGACAGCGTTACTGATTATGAGTTCTATAGTATTTTGTCGCGCTGCACCGCTCGCGTCCGGTGTAGACACGGTGTAACATTGGTTTTGCTTTGTTTCACAGAACTAATCGTTGCCTGGGTTGTGTACATATGTGTGGGGCAGCACTATCAAAATAGGGGCAAGACCCTTTTGGGGTAGGGGCGTGTTTGTTTTGGTGATTTCAAATGTCAACATTGGCTACCAGAAATCACTTACCCCACCTTTAAAACATTTTGTACAACTGTCAATTTTATAGTGATTTCTACTAGCACACATGCTAAAACTCAAACATAAAGTGGATTTCTAGAATAAAAGCCATTCATTTACAGCTCACAGGCCGCATCTATCATATTCAGCTATTTTATAACTTGAAAACTCACTTTCACTTTGGGTCTGGCCACGATATACAACAGCATGAATCCAGAAACAACCACACCTCCCACAATGCCATACTGCACCTCCCAGAAACTGACCACAAACGTCACCAAGAATGGCAGCAGATCGAGTCCTGAGGTAAACAATGAGATTTGAAAGCATACAAAATATTTCTATAGTCAAAATATGTGCTGTAAAGTCTCACTCTTGACTCTCCAGAGCTGGACTGGCACTCTGAAGTCTATCATGGGACTGACGGCGCAGATGATGACGGCAGCGAGTGACGCTTTAGGGATGTAGAAGAAGAGCGGCATGAGGAGCGCCAGCGACAGCAGCACTATCACACCTGCCCAAAAACACACACCTTCAGACGCTGTCCACATTTTAAATGTCAACCTGATCGCAAAGAGTGTGTGTCACCTGTGACAATCCCTCCAGCGGGCGAACACACTCCGGTTTGAGAGTTCACAGCGGTTCTGTCAGAAAACACCACATCAAAACACTTACTTAGCGAAGAGCAAACCAACAGACACTTTAGCATTCACGTTTAGCTTGCAGACGGACCTTCCGAAGCTGCCCGTGACGGGATACGCCGACACAAACGAGCCCATGATGTTCGTGAGACCTGCAAAAACAACATTATAATGAGAAACGACCGATTTACGCTCTGATAAAACATCGTGAAGGAAGAGAATCTCTCACCGATGGCAAAGAGCTCTTGGTTAGCATCGATTCGGTAGTTATTCTTGCTGGCTGCATGGAGAAAAAAAAGTGTTAAATGTGTCTAAACAGCATCTGTGTTGGTATATACAGAAGTAAGGACACTTTGAAGCTCTTACCGAAAGCCTTCGCAATAGCGATGCTCTCTAAGACGCCCATTAAAGGAATAACAGCCAGACCGCCGCCTAAATCCTGAGAAAATACACCTGATTGGTCAGTAATGTTCACTATTCTATTAGATTGGCTACTTATAATCTCTCAAATGTCACATATACTTTACTAATACTATAGTTTAATATTCTGAAATGTGGTATTACATGACAGCTCAATTTTCTGGAGTCCAAGTACCACAAGGGGCGCACTTTTAAAATATTTACTATTTTTATCATATATATTATTATTAAATATTTTATTATTCTATTAATAGAATAATGACCATAGTTTCATTAAGAAATAAAAACTAAAGTATTTTTTTTTATTTTAAAGGTTTATGCATCTGACATTATTAGTGCATAGAAGGAAAAAAAGTAATTATTTTCGAAAATATATTTAATTGTTTTTGGCATTAGTGCAGTGATGGAACAGCTTAAAAAAAAGATTATATACATTATTTTCATAAATATTAAAAATAACTTACATTTATATTTATAGAAACAACATTTTATCTTTATAATACAATATAATAATTTTTATAATTTAAGTTTTTCCTACACAATATAAATGTGTTTATATATACAGAAAATATATAGCTGTCTTTATATTTAGATCATTTTACCTAAATTTTATTTTTTAAATTACACTTAATTTCACATTTAATAGTGAAAGAAGAATACATTTTTGGGTACTATTTTCCAAACAATAGAATAATAATGATTATTCTAATCTATTTACAATTAATTTTTATTATTTTATCTATTTTAATGTATTTAATTTTATTTCCATACATTTTCTATACAGTATACACAAACATTATTTTAGGTTTTATTTATATTTAATTAATATTTAAATATCTTTAATATTTTAATTTTA